TACTATTAAATTGTTACAGTCTGACTTGGGTGGAGAATATTTTAAAACTAAGTTCTGTGAATATTTGGCCAATTCGTGTACCATTTACCATTCACCAAACTTCTTGTATTGATACACCTGTCCAAAATGGTCAAGCTGAGTGTAAATACCATCATCTCCTTGAGACAACTAGGTTTCTCCTCTCTGCCTCTCATCTTAGGGTGAAGCAATTCTTATTGCTGTTTTTCTTCTTAACTGTATGCCTACTCTCCTTCTCTCTGGTCGATTTCCTTACGAGGCTCTGTTTTCTCAATTTTCTAATTACTCCCTCATTCATGTGTTTAGGTCTGCTTGTTTTGTCCTTTTACCCCGTAAAGAAATCTTACAGTTTCTAGTGCAATATTAGGAAAATAGATAACAAACTACAAGAAAGAATAGGGCATGAAATATGTAAGTGGCTGAGTTAGCAAGGTAACAAAAATAAGTATAAGAACGAACTATGCAAAATAAAAATAAAAATAAAAATGAGTACATTTGACAACAAACAATAGAACAATGAAAATTTTTACAGTTGAGCTGGCTAAGAAATTAACATTTTTGAGGTAATTTATTATCTTTGATTTCTAATAATGAAGAAAAGTGAAAATTGAAAACCAAGAGATACTTAAGAGTGAACAATTTCATTATCTAGATTCAATTATTAATAAGGATTGAGAGATTGGAGATGATGTGGCCCATAAACTAAAGTGGGTTGGTTAGAGTGGAGGAATACTTCTGACATATTATGTGATCGATGTATACCAACATAATTGAAAATAAATAAATTATAGAGCAGTTATAAGGTCAACAATGCATCATGAGACAAATGTTAACAAACTAAGAAATAACACATAAGTAAAATGAAGGTAACTGAGATGAAAATGTTGAGGTGAATGTGTGGTAAGACCATGAAAGGTAGAATTAGAAATAAATTTGTTTGTGAAATAGTAAAAGCAGCACCAACTGAACATAAGTTGAGAGGGAACAAATTATAATGGTTTTGTCGTGTATAATGAAGACCGATAGAGGCAACAGCGAGGATGTTTGATAGGATCACAGTTAATGGAAATGCTAGGGAGGAGGGAAAGACCTACGTTGACATGGGATAGTGTAGTAAATAAGGATCAGAATTTACTTAATTTAAGGGAGCATATGGCCCTTGATAGAGTATAACAGAGAAAAAAGATTCAGGTAGGTCACCTAATGTCATGACATTGACGTCTAATCACTACCAAGATTTCCAATACAATATCTGAATTTTCACCAATCAAATAACCCAGTCTCAAATTTTGTAATCATAAGTAAATGCTAGAAGAAAATATCCTAGTCCATAAGAAACATTACTAGCAATTATAGCAATATGAGGAATTCTACCTTCATAGAGACACATCTTCGTGTGAACATTGTCACTTTTTTTTTAAAAAAAAAAAAAGAAAAAAGAAAAAAAAGAATGCCCTTCACATCTAATAATTGCCACATTCAATAACTACTAAATGGTTTTTTTTCATTCATCAAACTGCCCAAAATTGCAAATCAATTTACCTCATTCATCTGTCCAAAAACTTAAATTTAAAATTATAATCGCATAGCATTTGCACCTATCACTAGTATATATGTATATATATATCGAGCCCCCAAATTATAAGCTATTCCGGTATCCAGAAGTGCCCAAATCCCAAACATTTGGTCACTTTGGATAGTTCACTTCATTCCATGAATTAGCATAGGAAAAACATAGCCAACAAGTAATCCAATTTAACAAAATACACAAACAATGACAAGATTTCTCATAGAAAAAACATATTATGCAAATCAAATCTGTCACGCCCCACCTTTTATTACTCGGAGTCATTACCAAATTCTTTAACTTAATTCAATTTCAGAGATAACATGCGGAAATAAACTCATACATTCAATCCGTAGAAATGATTAACAATACTCTCATTCGTATGCAAAGTAAATATTACATGAACTAACTTAATAAATTGCCCTTGGGCTTACATCATTAAAAGTATAAGAAGAAGGGTGTAACCCTTTACAACAATGGCATTCCGCCAACATAACTAAGGCCCCGTGGCCAACAAATAAGAAGATCCAAATCTTGTAGCACACCCTGCTAAACACCTGAAAAGATTCAACAACGTGGGATGAACATATAGTCCAGTAGGGAACTCAACATGCTCCTTAACAATAACAACATTACAGATAGCTATGATCATGAACACCCATTCTCATACTAGAATAATAATGTGACAGTTTATACAAAAATATATAATGAATATTCAACGAAATCATTGTTTGCTTACAATAAGCTTTTGTAGTTCCTTCTACAAGGTAAACAATGAAATCAAGGCCAAATGACTTCTCAATCCTAGCTCTCTTACTCCTCCTTAGCTCAATAGGCTTATTAGGTTCATTACGCTCAATGGGTTCATTTTGTTCACTTTTCTCTGTAAACATCAAAGGAGTTGATTCATTTCCTTGATTAGAATCCAACCTTGGAATGGTTGTGAAACGATTCTCATAAAATACTAAATCATGTGATCCAATGATGGCATTTGTTTCTACTGAACCATTGGGCTCTACCACCAGAAACTTATATGCTTTGCTATGTATAGCATAGCTAAGGAATATGCATTCAATTTTTTTTCACCTAATTTCTTCCTTTTAGATTCAGGCAATCTAACTATTGCGTTACAATCCCAAGTTTTCAAATAACCTAGACTAGGTTTCTTGTTTTTCTAAAGTTCATAAGTAACATTTCTTCCCTGGAGAGGAATTCTATTGAGTATGTGACAAGCAGTGAACAAGGCTTCACCCCAAAACCCAGAACTTAAACTGGAGTAAGAAAGCATAGCATTCATCATTTCTGTTAATGTCCTATTCTTTCTTTCAGCTACTCCATTTTGTTGTGGTGTATAAGGTGCAAACTTCTCATGAATAATACCAACATTTTCACAATATTCTGGAAAATTTTATTTACTTTCATTTTCATCACAGTATTGGCTATGTGAACATGCAACTATCATTGACTCAGAAGACAGTAACACAACAGACTTCCCAAGATTGTCTCTGAATTTCTCTGCTTTGTAAATTTCTCTGGAATATGTATCCTTCTCTGCAATGTCAATTACACTCTTGCCCCTGTCTAAGTTTCTCTGGTATTTATAATTTGGACTGGAATGAATGTTTCTTCTTGGAATTTTCTCTGCCATATGTACTATGAGAAAAAGTTATTTCTCTGAATTTTGATCTTATTCTTGAATATGTTTCTGTCATTTTGTATCTGAATTTCTCTGCTTTGTAAATTTCTCTGGAATATGTATCCTTCTCTGCAATGTCAATTACACTCTTGCCTCTGTCTTAAGTTTCTCTGGTATTTATAATTTTCTCTGGAATGAATGTTTCTTCTTGGAATTTTCTCTGCCATATGTACTATGAGAAAAAGTTATTTCTCTGAATTTTGATCTGTCCAGAGAAATTTCTAAAAATTATAATTTTCTCTGAACTTAAAATAAAAGTCCAAAGACATCTACAAACTGATATTCACCTTCAAGATGATAAAAAACAAAATCACAGAAACTTAATGAATCACAGAGAAATTTACTGCTAACTATTAAACACAATTATAGAAAAAAAATCACATAGAATACAAGTCCAGAGAAATACTTTTCTCTGAACTACAAACTGAAAGTGAGTAACAAACTTACAATTTTCTCTGAACTACAAATACAAGTATAGAGAAATTTATGAACTTACATTCACTTTCTCATATTCTATCTCCATTGCAAACTTCTAATAATATGTCCATATGCACTTATAATTTCCTCTGGACTACACAAACAATAGTGCAGAAAATGAAATTTCTCTGGTTTGAAAAAACATAGAACACAACTATAATTCATCAGCATGTTGATAAAAAACAGAGCACCAAAAATGAACTCTAAACATCAAAATCACCTACACCGTCAATACTATTTAAAATTGATCAAAAAACAAAGAATGAAAAATTAATTCCAAAAATAAAAATCAACTCTATCAAGCTGACCTCTCTCTAAGCAAAAATTCAAAACAAAAATCAAAATCCATGTGGAATCTAAATCGAAAACAAACCTAATTCAACTCCACTCAAAAACCTACGCGATCAATACACTGTCAACACTCTTTGAAATTGATTAAAAAACAAATAATAAAAAATTAATTCCAAAAATAAAAATTAACTCTATCAAGCTAGCCTCTCTCTAAACAAAAATTCAAAACAAAAATCAAAATACATGTGGTATCTCCATCGAAAACAAACATGATTCAACTCCACTGAAAATCTACGCGATCAACACACTGTAACACCACTGAGATCTCCGACGAAATCTCCAACGAAATCTACATGATCGTAGCAATCTTTCTCGTCAACTTCACTAAAATCTCCGACGAAATCTCCACCATGAAATCTCCACTGAAATCTCCGACGAAAACTCCGACAAAATCTCCCCTTCAAATTCGGTTTCCAAAATGTATCAGTTAAGTCAACCATATAATATTCAAACAAATTTATGTTATAAAGGAAGGGTAATTTAGGTACTTTATAACCTAAAATAAATTTGAGGGACCTTAGCCATTAAAACATATTATAAAGGACCTCTCCTCATATCAAAAGTAGAGGAGGGACCTTAGGCCAATTTTCCCTTTTTTTTATATAACAAAATACTTCTATCTTATGTATGATTATTGAATAATCTGATAGTATGATCACATGATGTTCTACAATAATATAATTAATAAAAAAATATAAAATATTAATTATTTGTATTAAGTGATATAAAACATATAAGGGACAGTGACTTTTGAGAAAATATAACAACATAATACTACGAGACTATTGTATGATTTTTCACACCACGTGATTATTCGGTAGCCCTTTGATTTGTGAGGGATGAGAGGGCTATTTTGGTAATTACATAATTAAATTCTTATATATGTTTAGGAGAGAGGGATTGAAGCTCGAACAGAGGATCTTCACGCGAACTTATGAGCATCGTGTTGTTCCTCTTCACATAGATCTGAAGATCCGACCCAAACACCTACCTCTCTGTCGATCGCTTCCAATTCTGGTTTTTCTTCGACCAATCATTCACAGATTCAACCATTTATCTCGATCAAATCACTCTCGCAACTTGCGATGTCTCTGTAAAATCAGCATATTCGAAACTAAAAGAGTCCCAACATTCATATACAGAGATACGTATAACATCGATTCTTCGTAGTAGCACGTAACGAAGCTTCGAATGGTTTCCATGGAAAAACCAACTTCCCACAAATCTCCTTCTCGTTCTGCTTCTCAAGAGATGGATATGTCGATCCAAGGCAAGTTTTTTCAATTTTTAGGTTTTTGTTTTTGTTGCGTTTGAGAAAATTTGTGAATTCCTGATTTGGGTTTTGGGTTCTATTATACGTCGTGTTGGATTTTGATTGTATTGTTGATTTGGTTGATAGCTTGAAATAAATCTGAAAGTTTGAAACTTTGGGGCTTGTATTCAAGTATCAGGTGTTCTTTTGATTGGAGTGTGGGGTGGATCATTATGGGTCAGGAGGGTCTTAATTGCTTACATTAATTGTGCTAAATCTGAAGATTAATAATGTTTTTTATTCTAAGCACACATGGTCCTGTTGTCGGATTATGAATTGGAAGAGCATTGAACATTAGGAAAATTATTAGATAGTCTAGAGTACCATGTAGCATTATCTTTTTTTGATAAATGGGATACCGCAAAACACACTAACTCTCTGCCTGTCAATTACCTAGTAAAGTTTTTTTGTTGACTAAGTAGACTATTGTGTTTCTTTTATTTAAATGACAGCATATTGAGGCCATCTCATTTTTGGTTGATTATGGAATGTTCAGTCAAATGGTGAATGTAGAGGAAGCAATTATCTGAAATGATTTATCAAAGTATGGTAAAAATATATATTTTTAGACAGCAATAGAAAGAAAAAAGCAAGAATATTTTTTTGTTGGGTTGGATTCTCTAGCAAAAGTGGTGGAAATCTATCTGGTTCATTTGGTGTTTTGATATGCTTTTCCATGGTTGAATTTGAATGAATTTTCCTGACAGATTTTCATAAAGTTTTTGACTGTTCTTGTGTAGTCCGGTTTCCCTGTTCTTTTCTGTTGTAAACCTCTTCATTGAAGCTTGATGTTTCTGATTTGACTCTTTTCCCGTTTCATGTGCAACCTGGACATGTTTCCATTGTGTAAGACAGTATCTCTATTTCCTAACAAATTAAAATTATATTAAATCAAATAGTACAACTTGATTTATAACGACCCAAAAGAAGCAATGGTGATTACAGTGTGCTATAGAGTATCTACTCAGGCCTGTTCGGATGAATTTACGCGAGGCTTATATATTTTAAGGCTTGACCTGAAATTAGGAAAAGCTTAACCAAGTTGCCGCACTCCAAGACTTACCCTAGAAGAAAAATTATGAAACTGTTGGCACGTTTCTATAAGTTGTAGTTGTCATGTAAAATTGCAGAATTTAGTTCCAGTAGAGAAGCAAACTCAAAAACCCTTGCTATGTATGTTTGAGTGGTGGATTATTGGCAACTAAATGAGGGTATGGGAAGCAAGATATTTCTTTCCTTCAATCATTGTAGAGAGAGACAGAGAGAGAGAGAGTGGATGGTTGTGCAATATTTAGCTATGATTGAAAATTTTGGATAGAGTGCTACAAAGAGTATTGGTGGCAAGAAATTAGCAAAAGCCTTGAAAACAACATGATATAGAATCATGTTTGCTGATATTGTTAATGATTAATGTAGTTAGCCATCAACAGTGTGCCACACAACAACGACACTATAAACCCTGACTTATAAACCCATAATTTACCCCAAAGAAAGGAATCAATTATTCAAATTCATTTTACTCATGAATCCCACACTTCATCAATTTAATCTCTACATTACAAACACATTCGAGATAAATTATGGGTTGATATGGGTGGGTTCATAGCATTTTTGGCCACACAATGCTTTGAAATTTGTTTATTGAATAGATAAATCTTTTCATATTTATCCAAAAAACAGAAGATAATACCTTTTCATGGTATGTCAATTAGCATATCAATGCCCTCTTTCTAATTAGGTAAGATTGATCTTGACATTCAGTTTTGCCTGTAGCACTTCAAGTGCTATTAACTAATTGTCAATAAATAGACCTTTTTTTCCCTTTTTTTGGGTTCATGTGTAAGAATTATTTGCTTCCTTGCAAAACTTTTCACTTGTATATGCATTCTGCGATGACAAATTTGCAACATGATCTTGCACTACTAGTCCATTTGATATGCTCTTTCATTACTGCCAGTGCCAAAAATGTGAAAAATTAAATGCACGAAATATAATTTCATGGTTAAAGGCAAGGAATTTCTTCTAGATCTTATTCGATACCATCACCTGATAGAATTGCTACCTTTTGCAGGACTCCATGCAAAACATAAACAGGAACTAGAAAATTTGACACTAACAACACAGCCTTTCAAAACGATGAAGTTTTTTATTTTGGCTATTATTCAGTATCTTAAGAAATCCGTATTATATCTTTTGGCACACGGTGGTTGGCTCATGGTTTTGTGCACTTTTGTGGTGCTACTTGGAATATTGCTTGTTACCATTGATGGTCCTCATGAAAAGGTATTTTTTTCATTTTCTTGGTTATTTTCTGTTTGTGTTTGCGCAAACAGGGAATATCTCTTTCACGTTGTATTAGGATTTGAATAAAGTTAACAGTCATTTTCACTATAGGAATACATCTCATCAAATTTCTTTGGATACCTCTTTTGAGTGATGAAAATGTATTCTTGATAATGTTTTTGCAGCATGTTGAGGAGCTTCGCCAATATTTTCAGTTTGGATTGTGGTGGGTGGCTCTTGGTGTTGCATCATCTATTGGTCTAGGTGAGCAAATTAATCCACACTAACATTATTAATTATATTGCCTTGACAAGAATCTTTGTGATGGTGGAGCTTTTTATGTTGAAATTGCCGCTGTGGTCTGAACATTTAAATCTTATCTAAAACTTTTGTTGGGCCAAGAATTGTGTATTTTTCTATCAATGTTATCCATGCATAAATACTAGATGTAGGTTTAGCTAGGTTTACTGTTCCATGTAGAAATTGGAATGTAATTGTACCTAGCTGTGGAACATCTTCATTAATAGGCGTCAACCATTCTTGCTAAACATATGGATGATGAATCTGTAATCTTGTTCGGTTGTTTTATTTTGTGCAGGATCTGGTTTGCACACTTTTGTCCTTTATCTGGGTCCTCATATCGCTTTGTTCACAATAAAAGCCATGCAATGTGGCCGAGTTGATATCAAAAGCGCTCCATATGACACAATACAATTGAAGAGAGGTCCTTCGTGGCTTGCAAAGGATTGCTCAGAATTTGGTCCCCCATTATTTTCATCTTTACATGGTTCACGGGTTCCACTGAGCAGCATATTGCCTCAGGTCCAGATGGAGGCTATTCTATGGGGCATTGGTACTGCACTTGGGGAGCTTCCTCCATATTTTATTTCCAGAGCAGGTATGTGTATGAGTTAGGTTTTTATATTCTCAGATGTCAAACTTCTGTTGTTTCCTGAAACCTGTTTCCTTTTAACTTAATTTTCAAAACAACATCGGAGAACAACAAACCAATCTAATTTTCAGTTTTGTTTCCAGTACCTTCGAGTTCTTATACCTCTGTCAAACAGTACCCAAGATTTTCTAAATGAATGTCTACGAAAATGACTTGGTGGCATGGTTTTAAAAAGCGGCCGCAACCGTTACGTAACGCCGTTACGTAACGGTTTTAGAGGTTACCGCCACCCGTTACGGCCGCTTTTGCAGTGATTGAGATTCACAGGTGTGTCGGCCGTAGCAGCTACCGTAGCGGTCGTAACAGTGCCGTAACAGCCTGTTACACACCGTTACGTAACGGTTCCAAACTGTTTCTTTCAAAAAAAATACAAAAAAAAGCTAAAATAGAATGTAAAAAACTCAGTTTATAATGATTTAAAAATATGAAATATATTGGATCATAATTAAAAATTTATAAAAATTGATCAATATTTATTTTTAACCCAATAAATATGATCATGGAAAAAAAATATGCATATCGGTAAGTTTTTTTCAAATTGTGCAAAAAATAAAAAAATTCACGGTTCCGGTTACCGCAACCGTTACACTACGGCTTTTACACCCCGCAACCGCAACCGCGTCACCGCCACCGTTACGGCGACCGCAACCACTTTTCAGAACCTTGCTTGGTGGAGATATTTAAGAGGAGATTTGTGTTGCAATTATCTTGGATTCTTGTCTTCTTTCTCATTTTAAATTAAAGAGGGAAGAAAAAGAAAGGGGAAAAAAAAAACGAATAGAGTTGTTTACCACCGCCACCTGAACCAATGCCTTGGGGCAATGATTCCTTTGATTCCTATAGTCTCCCATCCCTAGGTTTTTCTGTTGGCTCTTTTGATGAGCTAAATCTCACGTGGATAATTCTGTAATAGTTGTTGAAATTTTATTATTTTGTAGAACTAGTAAGTATGCATATGCACGATCAGGTGATCAATGTAGCATTTTAAGTGGATACGTTGCTAGCTTCTGATATTTGTCTCCATTTGTGTAATTGCGAATATTTAATGGCACGGTTGTTCTTTTATTTGTCTTGGTTTGATGTTTTTATTTTTTAGCTGGCAAGGCAGCTTCTTGTTATTGCCTGCTCTTTTCAATATATTTTTGGCTTTAGAAGGGTCACATCATGTCTTTTTATATAATGGACTTTTTTATTGTCATGGAAAAAGGGTAAATGAACCATTACAATCTTATTTGTCTTATATTGTTCTACTTTCTTATTTTTATTTTTTTGCAGCTCGCATCTCAGGTAGCAGATTGGATGCCATGGAAGAATTGGATGCTTCCTCAACTGAAGATAATGGAGTCTTACCTACTCACCTAACTCAGATAAAGCGTTGGTTCCTGTCACACGCACAATATTTGAACTTCTTTACGATTTTAGTGCTTGCTTCGGTTAGTTTTCATTCCCTCCTCCATCTCAAGCATCAATTCATTATATAACATTTTGTGAAATTTCTGCTTTCTAATACGACTCCTGTGATCCACACATTTGAAATAATTGTTATGCCTGCTATGCCCTCCATGTATGCCCCGTTGTTCTTGTGGGAAGTTTGGAGTTGATCTACGGCTTTTGTCTCTGCATTTTCATTGATTATTAATTTGTAATCTGTTGGTTAACTATCTTTTAGGTGCCAAATCCTCTATTTGACCTTGCTGGCATTATGTGCGGACAATTTGGGATTCCTTTTTGGAAGTTTTTCCTTGCCACACTGATCGGAAAGGCAATTGTTAAAACTCACATACAGGTTTGTGAAGCTCTTTTGCTCGTACTGTTTAATGTATCAAGACAATTTTAACTTTAACTCAGTGTTATTTGCCTAATTTTCGCTGCGTTTACCTTCGTTCATGCTTTTGGCACATCGATATGTACTTTTGTTTGTTTTTGTTTGATGACTAGTGATTCGACTTTGTAGCTTGTTTGAATCTTAAAAGCTCTTATGGGTTGGCTTCTGATTAGTTATTTGGTTGGTTATTGTTGTACAGACTGTGTTCATTATATCAGTTTGCAATAATCAACTTCTTGACTGGATAGAAAATGAGTTGATTTGGATGCTTAGCTTTGTTCCTGGTCTTGCTTCTGTCCTGCCTAACCTCATCTCCAATTTGCATGCAATGAGAGCCAAGTATATGGCTACCCCAGCTCCTATGCCCTCGAATATCAAGGTGCTTCATCTTCGATTTCTTCGGAAAATCAGAACCCTTTTACAAGCTACTCCCAAAGTTGCAGACTGAGTTTCCTCTGAATTTTGACCTTTTAAAATCGGATTTGTATTTGTTTGCTCACATTTGTTTTCACTGTTTTCCTCAGGTGAAGAAGTGGGATCTTTCATTCACTGCACTGTGGAACACCATTGTGTGGCTCATGATCATGAACTTTTTTGTTAAGATTGTGACTTCAACTGCACAGAGGTATCTTAAGAAACAGCAGGAAATGGAATTGGCGTCAAGGCAGTCGAATGATCAGTTGTCTTGATGAACTTGCAAAGCAACCTTTTATGCCTCTTTTTTTTTAACCCTCTTGCTTTTTCTTTTCTTGTTTTCGTCATTATTAGTTTAGGTCATGAGATATGAGCGACAGCCTTTTGATAAGTCGCCATGGAAGCCACCCCTAAAACTCTCTCCCTTTCAGAAATTTGTATAGGAAGATCAGAACTTACTGGTTCATTTATATACTCTGCAATTGGGGAATCATTGTTTTTTGGGGGGTTGGAAATTAACCTCTCCATTGTTAGGTACTGTTTGGGATTTGGAGAGATTTGAAACTAATATTCTTCGGCAATGCAAGACAAAAAAATCGTTTGCTTGCTCATATTTGGTCTCATGTTTTGTACCTGTTAACAGATTAATTTTGATACAGATAATAGCCTAGCTTAAACATCTCATCTCTCTCTCTCTCTCTCTCTCTCTCTCTCTCTCTCTCATAGCTGTAATGGTAACTTTTTTTTTTTTGTTTTTTTGGTTCATCCAGAAAAGACATCCTAAATGAGACCTAAGAACTTATCTTGAAAGATGTATTGTTAATGAACAATATTAGTCAATGATTCCCAATTATGAGGTGGTGTTAGTGGATGCATGATGGGTATCTAGATATGCCTTTATTAGCATTCAAATCATATATGCTTTTAGATGGGAGATCATGAATTTGATTGGAGTATGATAATCATACCTAGTTGAAATTCTATAATTATATTGATTTGAACCTTTAATTGAACTTAGGATACTACAATTTGTGAGATAATCTAATCTGCATTGTATTTGTTTGGAGTTTCATTCTACATGTAGTTGTGGTTTATGTTATTTTAGTAAATTTTACATGTTTTTTAGAGGGTGTTTATTGACAAGGGTGATAAATGATATTTCAAATTAATAAATAAAGTGAATGTGATTTCAAAAGTATAAAGGAGTCTCAGTGTAATTTATCCGTTGTTGTATTGTAATACATTGTAATTGTAAAAAAGAAATAAAAAAATTATCTAGTCAGCATCATGCATGCATAGGAGCTTGTGTCCATGTGGCATATAGATACTTTTTTTATTCTGATCTTTGCCAGAGAGTATTAACTATTCTATTGATTCAAAGTTAGGTTGAGTTTTACACCAGGTTATATTATTCTTATTTTGAAAAACAAAAAATAAATTATTTATAATGCAATCAGAACAGACACTATTTGATTGCTTCCCTTAAAATATGACCCTAGAGATGAGATGACTTCCCCAAATCATTAAAAATATGATTTGATAAACTCTTTAACCATTTGATGACCCATTTGCTTATATTAAAGTCACTTTCATTCAAGGTTCCTCTCTATTAATCCAAACACCGTGCTCATTAAATACAAAAATATCATCTTAAAGAAACATTTTGACTCCAACCTCAAGAGAAGTGGATATGTAATATATATGGAGAGAGAGAACCATAAAATAATTGTTCAATCAATGAATAAATTATGGATTTAGTGTACTTTGAAATATATTCTCTTCTCAATATAATAACATCATGTTATTATATATAATAAAATGAGTTGATGATTGTCCAATTACTTTATGAATTAAATGAGGGTTGGGTGATTACGTTGTCATGAAGCACTAGTTTTTGTTTATTTGAGATCCAAGTAATGAGTCTCACACAATATAATTAAGCTATGTTAATGTGCTTTTCTAATTATTTTATTTTATTTTATTTTATTTTCATTTAATTTCAATGGGAACACATCGATTTATTAATTACTTCACATCCATCGTTTCACCATTACTGTATATAATAAACTTATACCTAAAGTTTTGAGCACAATCCACCAATCTCAGTTTAGTTTTTTTTTGAAGTTTTATTGGACCCTTAAAATTTTAATATCATAGTTTTTACTTAACAAAATGAGTATATTGCAAAAATTAAGTTCAGCGTAAAATGCAAAATAATGCAAAATGTGTTATAATTTGTCATTTCCAGGCAAATGCAAATAAAATGAGTGAATCTTATTTTGCTGCGAGGGATTTTAAATACTGCATTTTTATATTTATTTCATGATAGTTAGTAGATAATTACTAGTGTTTTTAGATCATTTTTTGAGTAGATTCTAAGAATGATTGACAAATTCAGATTTAGAAGCATCGTATGCCCTTTTTTTTTACCGAAGTTTAGATGAGAACATGATTTGATCTAATCTAGTCTTTTAATTATAATTTAGAAACATTCGAGTTGAATAATGATATTCTTACAATAAGTATGAATCCCAATCCTAATTTATAGATCATTCTAGAATATTATATTTTCTTTGTGTAGATTCTTTGAATTAGAATAATAGAGGATTTCATTAACCTGTGTTTGGCAAGTGGGTTTGTAGGTTTTTTTGGCTATTTTAGCCACAAAAAATAAAATAGGCTATTTTAGTCATAACAAACAAAACATCACATCCAACCCATAATCATTACATTCTTCTCTCACAAAAAAACTCAAAAAAGTCAAAAAGCCAAAAAACCCTTCCCAAACCAAGCTTTTAAGCCCAGGCTAAAATAGCCAAAAAAGTCAAAAAGCCAAAAAGCCAACCCACTTCCCAAACGGAGGCTAAATTATGTTGAAGTTTGATCTAAACTAAATGGTAGTGGACTCTTCAAATAATACTTGTTTGACAAGTGATGATTTTAGTCAAAAAAAAATAAAAAAATCACTAAAAAAATAAAAAAGCTAACAACTTATACAAAAAAAGACAAAGATTTTATTTTCTCTTTACTTTTTGTATATCTTTTCGTAAAAAATTAAAAAGTCATCTAAAGCATACTAGTTTTTTTTACATCATATTTTAACTAAAAAACTAAAAAATTATTAAAAAAATATATCCCCAACCGAGGCCATAACTTAATTCTTGTAATATGTGTTTGTTTTTTCCCTTATGCTTCTTCTCATGCACTCTTATTGTGCTCATTTAGTTTGTACACTTTCGTTTCATTGTATTTGTTTAAAGAGTTAACGACACTTCACACTTTATAGCTTGGTCGAAGTTACATTTCACCCCTGTAAAATTAAAAGTAGGAATGCAACTTAGGCTGACTTAACTCGAAGAATCTGAATTCCGACCAAATTTTTAGATAAAATATTTTTAAATTTGGTATGGACTCAGATAAAAATTCAGATGTCTGAATTAAATTTGGGTGGATTTGAACAAAGATATCGAACAACCCGAGCAATTTGAAACTCGAATTATACATATATAGATATATATATAAATATCAAATATACATATAAATTATTAGTCATTACATGATATTAAAATAATTTATATTATTAAATCAGATTGAATATATATTATATATATAAATAACATAAAATCATACAATTTTTTTTTTTTACTCATAAATTGTAAGAACTACTATAGCGGCATCTTTTTTACATTATATAAATTATTTGTTTTGATGGTATTAATGATTTTCTATATAAAAAAAATGTAAATAGAATCAAATTTTAATAATTTAATAAAGCAGTTGCCAAAAAAAAAAACTGAAATTCATTTATAATTCGGGCAAATCGGGTTTAACTTGGGTTGGGCTTGAACAGGCAACCTCGGGTTACAATTCGGGCCTGGGCAGGTCTTAGTATAACTTGGGTTAGGATTGAACAACCTCCCAACTCGACCGAACCCGCCTGAGTTGCACCCCTAATTAAAAGTGACTCCTTACACTATAGTTTTGTGAAATTTGTACTTTGCCCTTGTAAAATAAAATTTTTCACTTTGCACCCTTTATTTTTTAAATTCATTGGGAAATTTAGTAACAACTGAAAGGTGCAAAGTGCAACTATACAAAACTATAAGGGGCCAAGTATACCAAAAAAAATAATAATAATAATAATTTAAATTTTACTAGGTGCAAAATGCAACTCTTACAAAATTACAAGGAGTATAAATTTTTGAAAACTATAGGCATCAAAATCTCATTAACCCATGTTTAAATAAGCACACAAGAAGATTGTTAAATAGCTTAACATATATTGTTAATTAATTTTTTTTAGACATCTAAAAACAAATACAAAGACAAACAACGGTTAATTAAGTTTTTTTTTTTTTTTTGTGTGCTCGCGTGTGTGAATAATAGGTGAATCCACATGCCTTCTTGATAATGATGTGTTTTTATAGCCATTAGAGCTTAATTTAAAATGGTTAATATCGTTATGGTTTGGATTGTGGATCGCAATTTATTCTAACTATTTTTGTTGGAAAAAATATCAAGGACAGAAATAAAAAATAAAAAATAAAATAAAAATAAGTGAAATAGAAATTTATTATCTTTATTTAATTATTTATTTTTTAACGTTTCAAACACAATGCCTTATCAAACAATGAAACTCATGTCCACATTCTTACCTAGCCTAACTTGACTCAGTGATGGATATCGATCCGTTAGCCCGCCTTGTCTGCCTTGCCCGGCCTTATTTTTCTATGGCTTAAGAAGGTTGTTTTAACCCATAAGGCTGGGCTGGGTCAACCTTTTCAAACTAAAATATTAATGGGTTGAGATTGAGATTTATACTTTTAACCCAGCTCAGCCCAGGCCGACTCATTATTAAATTAATTAATTATTTATTATATATTATTTTTATTTTTTTTGTTAGATTTAGATTTTATCTTTGATGATTTTATTGAAATTTACATTTGTAGTGATGCGTGATTAAAATTATTTAATAAATCCTTTAATTTATATAAAAAAATCTTTCAATTTATAATGATGTCAATATATTTATTTAAAAAATATAATGTATGATTGAATTTAATTATAGAAAATTTTAAATTTTTTTAACATATAGCCAGAGGGCGGATTTGGAATTTATAATTATTTTTTGAACCGAGCTTGGGTAGATATAGAGGTCCAATGTTAAAATCAAGCCGGACTTAAACAAACAAAAAATCTCTTATTACATAGTATCGACCTAACCCGACGTTTGTCCACCTCTAGGTTGAGATTGAGATTTATACTTTTAACCCAGCTCAGCCCAGGCCGACTCATTATTAAATTAATTAATTATTTATTATATATTATTTTTATTTTTTTTGTTAGATTTAGATTTTATCTTTGATGATTTTATTGAAATTTACATTTGTAGTGATGCGTGATTAAATTTATTTAATAAATCCTTTAATTTATATAAAAAAATCTTTCAATTTATAATGATATCAATATATTTATTTAGGAAATATAATGTATGATTGAATTTAATTATGAAAAATTTTAAATTTTTTTAACATATAGCCAGAGGACGGATTTGAAATTTATAATTATTTTTTGAACCGAGCTTGGATAGATATAGAAGTCCAATGTTAAAATCGAGCCAGACTTAAACAAACAAAAAATCTCTTATTACATTGTATCGACTTAACCCGACGTTTGTCCACCTC